TGAATAGTCTTGACCACATCTCATTTATCCACGAGGTAAAATGAAAAAACAATTTTAATTCAAATTTTTTCGAAAAAATTACATTTGAAATAAAGATTGCACTTGTTTCGACCTGTTGAACTTGAATATGTAAAAATATACAGGGTGTTTCATTTGAAAAAACAAAGTTGCTGGCATTTACAGAAATACCGGAAGTCCGCCATATTGGATTGTAATGTGATCAAATCCAAAATAATTGCTTATATAACTGTACCGAATTTCAGAAAAATCCGTTGACGAATGCAGAAGTTACAGGGGTGGCTCGATACCCTGTGTCACCCGGTATAATAAAGAACAGTTAATTGAAATACTTATGTTTATCAAGATTTAAAAAAACGTCTCAGTTGAAGCATGGCATGTCTAGTGATTGATACTGATTCTCGGTAGTTTCTAGTTCCCTTGCCTAAGCTGCCCCCCCCCCCTAGTTCAGATCCTGGGTACGCCCTTGCATCACGTGATAAATATCTCCATATTCAATAAAAAAAACACTCACCATTTTGAAATCGATCAACTTGCATCGCCATTTCAGCCACAAAAAAACAATTTTACACAGACACACCTTTCTCACACACACACACAAATAATGCAATATGAAGCATTTCGATTCGGCACTTCTAAAATGATACAGATTTTTTTTTAAACCAATTGATTTGACCGTGCGCGGTGAAATCTTATATACGACTGACGAATGACAGGTGGCTTATTGATTCGTCATCCTGATTACTAATTAGTTACGTCACTCTTCCAACCGATTCCTGTAAATGCAAAGTTTATCTATGACTAAGGGTGATATGAAAAAATAGTTCTACAGGGGGCGAGAAGAAATTCAATACAAGTACAGTGTGTCCAGTTTTCAATGCTATTACGCGATATCTCAGGTATCTATGGAGTGGGTGCACTGCTTCATGCCCACATTTCGTTACTCCCACATCGCCTTGTTCCCACATTTCGGTATGCCCACATTTCGTTAGCCCCACATTTCGATACACAACCTTCTCCGAGCATACCCGAAGGAGGCAATGTTGCCAAATACTATCCTATATACCAGAATTCAATGAAACTGTCATTGTGGGCCTATCGACACATTTCGTTACACCCACATTGCTTTATGCCCACATTTCCTTATGCCAACATTGCGTTACACCTACATTTCGATCGGCCCACATTTCGTTAGCCCCACATTTCTTTATTCCCACTGTCTCGGAACATACCCGAAGGATGCACGTTTGCCAGATGTGGGTGTAACACAATGTGCGTTAGGCCCACAATGTCTAGTACACGCGTCTAGCTATAGCATTTCCCTCTATGGCTTTCTAAATTCCGAATACGTAATATGAGGAAGGAAAATATCCTCTCTGCATTAGAAAGGAAACAGCTTTTTCTGAACATTCTAACCTTGCTCGGCCTAAATGAACCTCCTTCCTAGGAATTTTTGAATATTACTCGAGAGAGCAGAAGAGACTACTTTCTCAAAACCATCTAACTTAACTTGAGACCAAATAAACCTTCCTAAAAAGTGTTTTTTTCGATGAATTGCTTGAGGGAAAAAGGGATACTACTTTTTTTGAACAATCTAACTTAACTCAGCCTGAATCAACCTTTTTCCTAGAAAGTATATTTTCCTAAAAATTACCCATCAAGCACAGTATATGGCAACAGTGCCTCCTTCAGATATGTTCGGAGTCTGTGGGTGTATCGAAATGTGGGAACAACGCGATGAGGGAGTAAAAAAATGTGGCTGTAACAACACGCTCCCTTTAGGAGCACTCCGGTAGGTTACTACGTCTCCATTTTCCAAAATTTCCCGATTTCCACTACAGATTCGTTCATAACGACATCCAATTAGTCTATGTGAATTTTTTCACATTTTTTATAGGTCAAATGAAAATTGTCATTTTCCCACCTAAAACTTCCGGACGATATAATCACCAAGCCATCTTCGGACGGCCGAAAGTACCAGGAAACAGAGGATAGGACAGCCCGATAGGACAGATAGTTTTCGGGATATCGGAGCTCAAAGTCAGCTCTTCGCGTTTATTGCCAAAAGGAGCAGTCTGGTAGGCTACTACGTCTCTGTTTTCCAGAATTTCCCGATTCTCACCACAGATCCGTTCATAACGACATCGAATTAGTCTATGTGAATTTTTTCAGATTTTTAACAGGCAAAATGAATTTTTTTTTTTCCACCTATGAACTATGACTTCCGTACGATATAGTCACCGAGCCATCTTCGAACGGCCGAAAGTGCCAATAAACAGCAGAAATCCACGCGAATTATCTCTTCTCCAGTAGAAAATGACACGCTGAATCGAATGAGACGATGATCGGCCTCATAGGACAGATAGTTTTCGAAATATCGGCGCTCAAAGTCAGCTTTTCGCTTTTATTGCCAATAGGAGAACTTCGGTAGGCTACGACATTACCATTTTCCAAAATTTTCCGATTTCCACCACAGATTCATTCACAACGACGTCAAATAAGTCTATATGGATTCTTTCAGATTCTTAATAGGCAAAATGAAAATTTTCATTTTAAACCTGAGACTTCCATGCGAAAGTGCCAGGAAACGGCAGAAATCCACGCGAATTATCGCTTTTCTAGTAGAAAATTACACGCTGAATCGAATGAGCCCGATAGGACTGAAGGTTTTCGAGATATCGGCGCTCAAAGTCAGCTTTTTGCGTTCACTGCCAACAGGAGCAGTCCGGTAGGCTACTACGTCTCCATTTGCCAGAATTTCTCGATTTCCATTACAGTTGTAACTGTCGATGAAAGTAGACAGTTGAAACTGTCTAAATAGACAGTTGTAACTGTCTAAATAGACAGTGGTAACCTTTCTAATTAGACAGTTGTAACTGTCTAAATAGAAAGTTGTAAGTGTCTAAATAGACACTCGCAACTGTCTAAATAGATATCGTAATTCGTACTGTCCTGCCCTGTCCACTGACTAGTGACTATACTGACTTCCCTGTCCTCTGTCCTACCTACAATAACAGTACAACATAGGAAAAATAAAAACATGTGCTTATAACTAATCAACTAATACGAGCTGTGTGTATTGCGTGTATAATGATTGTGGTAGTTTTTCTATAGTAAAAGTAAAATGGATGATGGTTTAATTAGATTTTTTTTCTGTTTGGGTTTCCAAAAAACTGAAATTTTGGCCAGTTTGGCTCTCAATCATGATATCATCATTAGTTTCAGTACTCTCAAACGAAAATTACACAAATTGGGATTGTTCAGAAGAAAGAATTTTACGGACATTCTAGAAATTCAACAATTCGTTACAAATGATACAAAAACTCATGGACAATTACATGGATACCGATGGATGCACCTTAAATGCCTTAGGTAGGAATAATTTACATCGATGCTTCCATCACCCGTAATTCCAATAAAATGATGATCCAAATTATTCCAAATGCATTTTTTTTAAATAGACAGTTGCAAGTGTCTATTTAGACAGTTACAACTGTCTATTTAGACAGTTACAACTGTCTATTTAGACAGTTACAACTGTCTATTTAGACAGTTATAGTTGTCTATTTAGACAATTACAATGCACTGTCAATGACGATCTTGCTGAAATCACAGCCTGGGGAACAAACAACCTAGTTGAATTCAACGCCACCAAAACTCAAGCCTGCATTTTCTCTAGAAAGGCAGAACTCAGTATGCCCGATATTGTAATGTCTGGCTCCACCATCCCCACCAAGCCCACCATATCTATGCTCGGTATTTCCATCTGCAACACTTTTTCATGGGATAATCATGTCAGATCCATCGCAAAAGCTGCTTCACAAAAACTCGGATTCTTGTTCCATGCTTCCATGCGAAAAGCTACTTTACACCTCAACAGCTTCTCATGATCTACAAAGCGCAGATACGGCCTGTTCTAGAATACTGTTCCCACATATGGGGTTCAGCACCAAAACATACGCTGATGCTCTTAGATTCCATCCAGAGAAGAGCCATTTGCCTGGTGGGTGACGCTACACTCACTCACTCTTTCACATCATCGGAACACCGTAGAAAGGTCGGCGACCTTTCACTTTTCTATCGATGCTTCCACGGGAAATGTTCTTCGGAAATCTCTGCTATAATCCCTTCTCTAGCAATACCAATCAGACGAACTAGACAAGCCCAGTCAGCACATCCTTTCGTTGTCAACCTCGAAAGATGTCGAACAGCACTTTATCAAGACTCCTTAGAACGGCTAGGCTCTGGAATTCATTGCCTGTGGAAGTATTCCCAACAACAATAATCTCCAAAAGTTCAAACAAAATTCCAATACCTACCTCCTGTCCCTATCCTCCCTAGGAACGCACGATGTTCTTTGAACATTATAGGGATTCCCTTTCGTGCGCTCCAAGCGATAAAAAAAAATCTTCCGTTGGCGAAAAGCTATCATGTTGCGGTTTTCGTTGGTCTGTTGAGATTTAGTTTCTCTATTACATTATGTAATAATGATATGCATACCAATAAATATTTAACATCAATTTCTCATTCTCATTGCCAATTTTGTAAGTAGATTTTTTCCGAAGCTGTAAGGTTTAAGTATGGTTTCCATGATATCGTACCTCACCGACCTCAGTGGATGGGTACATTATGTTCTATTTTTTTAAATGAACTATAAGTACTTGTCGCTTCTCTTCCTGATGATTCAAATATGGAAAATTAATGATTATTCACTGTCATATTGTAGGCATAATATTATTATATTCCTTTTTCATTTTTATTTCCCAAAACTTGAAATTGTCAATTACCTATAAGTTTGCCATCAACGGTAACATTATGTACCAGAAAATTTCAAAGATTATACTACTGGTACCTACCTACCTACCTACCTTCCTACCTACCTACCTAAGTGTCTCTACCTACTTGAAAACTCATTTAAAATCCCTTACTCAAAGCATAGATTGGTTAATTTATGCTCATAGCCTGTTATCCCTTGTTCACAGATAACCTGAGTTACCTGAAAGAATACGAAACGGAAAGGCAAAGGCACAATGTCCCTACAATGCTGGCAGTGGAAGGCCTCTACAGGCTGTACAATACGGATTTCACCCCTATCGTACTTCTGAGAAGTTTGGGATTGCAAGCTACCCACGTTTTGAATCCCCTCAAGGTCAGTTGGTATTATCGTTGTATTTGTGTTTGATGGTTGACGTAGCATATAGCTTCAATGACGATATTTGCTTATCTCAATTCATGAACGTCCTCAAATATTTTTGGCTAGGTGCAGACTTATTCATTTATTTATATATTTATTTATTGAACACATAACTTCCAGACAGAATTGGATTTGGTATAAGAAATAACTACCTACATAAAGGTATACCTAGATAAGTATATAGGTAAAAACTTCACAAACGATAAGATTTCCACAAAATTCTCAAACATACGACATGTTTTGCTAACACAGTAGTAGCTTCGTCAAGTGATATAATGGTACAATGAACTAAACTAACGTTGGCTTGCTTTACTTTTATATAAATAAAATATATAAATATGAAATATAAATAAAATATATAAATATAAATAAAATATGTAAATATAAAATATGAATAAAATATCTAAATATAAATACAAGTAAAGCAAGCCAACGTTAGTTTAGTTCATTGTACCAGTATATCACCTGACGAAGCTACTGCTGTGCTACTGTGTTAGCGAAAGATGTCGTGTGTTTAAGAATTTTGTGGAAATCTTCGTTTGTGAAGTTTTCCCATTTGCCATGGATTTCCATCAAGTAACGGCCGAGTCATTAAAAAAAAAAGTATATAGGTATTTCACTATGATTTATGCAATCTTAGAGCTTATTGTGCTACCAATAAGGTGTGACAAACATTTTTGGTAGATTTAAAGTAAGGTACTTTTTATAGCAAATTAAATTCAAAAATGGTCCTTTTTGTATGATGTTAAAATATGGGAGAGAAAAAAATTAACTCCCGTTACTTTTGGTGAGTTAGTGTCAACATTAATTATAGTATTGAATGATTTTCTTTGTTTTGTTCGCGTTGGTCTGGTGTTCTCTTGGTATATGTGACGAAATGGAACCCTCTAAATTTATGTCCTACCATTTCTTCTTCATCTTGATATTTGAAATATTTTCAATTCGTTTCTCGCTTCATTTCGCCAGATACTTGATTTTTTAAATTTAAAATTAGTCGTCCAGGACTGAACACCAAAAATATAGAATTGAATTCGATTCAGCTGTTTACCTTTCATAAAAAACAATTCCCAGTCCACCAATCGACAAAAAGCATTCACTGTAAAATATCATTAATGCTTGACCGGGCGTGAAGTTGCACTTTATCGCCCGGACTTGCAGGCGTATATTAGCGCTCTAGGGCGATAAAGGAGTACAGCGGGCTAAATAGTATTCTGGCGGGCGGTAAAGTAGGTGGCCGGACGTTATAGTAATTTCACTGTTTTTCCAGTAATTCATAGTAGACTACCATTAGACCTATTTTCGCCAGTGGCATACAGAATTTGACCAAATGAATTTAAAATCATTAATTCATTTCATATTGGCAGTAAATGAATGTCTAAAACGGTCGTGCATAAAATATTGTATGTATTTCGGGCGTAACGTATTGCTTTTATGGACCTAGGCGTGGTAATAGCCCGAGCTGTCGCTCGTGCTCTTACTTACAATCTGCGGTCCATAAAAGCCTACTTTACGCCCTTGATATATAAATAACTATTATGATAATTGTTTGTTCGATCAGAAATATTACTTGATTTCTGAATTTCTCAGGGATCACCTCTGAAAAACTTGTTCTTAGTTTTTGAAACCAACGCTGTTTGCCTTGTTCCTCTTTCCACACGCCTATGCCTGAAAAACGAATAACAAGGTCGATGATTCGAATGTTTTTTTATAGATACAGAAACCAACACGTTAACCTCGTGATATTCATTGTATAAATAAATCCTTAGTGAGTATGAATTTATTTCCTGCGTAAAAAAATGAGCTGTTGTTGAACTCACAAATATTTATTTAGGAATATAGAATGGACACATTTGGGACTAATGAAAACGTGAATACCGTCTACTTAGTCAACTTTTCTAGTCCAGGAACAGGAATAAAAATATTCATTACTGCAAGCTATACAGTGATAATTTTTAAATCAAAGATCTGGGAATGAAATTCGACAAAAGTTCCCGCATACATCTGTAACTTTGGTATTATTGATGATACAAAAGTTGGAATTATTGGTTGGGGTCGAAAATGGTTTCCTTTTTTGTTTGCTTGAATTCAGTTTGTTTACGGAATGATTCAAACTATTCAAAGACGGACCTATAACTTGATAATTGATATTCGAGTTTTGTGTGAATAAAATGTTTCAATACCTATACTCCATTAGAATACCTTTCAACATTCAACAAAACACTGTTTTTTCTATTATTTTTTCGAACAATGTTCTTCATTTTTCAGAATCAGAAATTTCTTTTTTTTTTATACAGGATGCAGGATGATATATTATATTCATATAGGGTATTTCCGATCGATACTGGGATACATTAAACGTATAAAAAGAGACAAAAAACGAAACGAACTCTTTGTTAACAAATACTTAGGAAGATATTGATCTGTACAGTGTGTCCCGTTTTCGATGATTTTGCTCTTTGGAGATACAACCTTGCGGTTTTTTCGGTTCTATACCACTTTTTTGCGAAACTAATCAGATTTTGCATAACAGTTTCAGTTTATGAGATACAGGGCGGTTCTGAAAATTTATCCTTTTCGGAGTCTCTCTATATCTACGAATTTTCTCAGCGAAAATGTAAAATTGAAATCTTATCCCATAGAGAATTGTACGCAGAATCCAGTGGCGCACTAACATTGAATTTCAAGAGTGATCTATGGATTCTTCATATAAAAAAAGTTCCAATTGGAGAAATTTTTCTTTTCATTTTTCCATGAAGGGGACAAATACAATATCGACACTAATTAACTAACAAAACACAAAACTTGGGTTTCTGATAACAAATAAATAGTAATAAAAAGTTCATAATGTAAAATAAGCACCTGAATAAATATTTACTAAAACAAATTGAATTTCGGAATTATACAGTAACTTATTCATTGAATTGATCGAATTGATGTCCATTTTACGTCCAAATGCATTCAAAATCATCGAAGGATTTGTAATTCCTGGAAAACTGCCTCTGTTGTTGCACGAAGTTCTTCAAGATTGTTGTGCCCTTACTGTATTATGAGACGTATGGAGAAAGTGTGTCAATTCATCAAATTTGATCAGGTGCTTATTCCACATTATGAACTTTTTATTACTATTTAATTTTTGCTATCAGGTGCCTGAGTTCTGTGTTTTGCTAGATAATTAGTGTTAGTATTGTTTGTGTCCTCTTCATGGAGAGAGAACTTCTTCTATAAGAAAAAACCATAGCCCTTGAAATTAAATGTTTTGGTGATTTTGGAGCATTTCTGAACATTTTATATTTATACATTATATATCATTTTGAAGGGAAAAAAATAAGGAATTTATTGAACTTATAAAATACAGGGTTTTCCATTTTAAAAATCATACATGAGTCCCCACTGAGCAAGGAACATCCCGGGGATGTTTGGTAACGTTAATTTCTTGTACCTTTGGTGACCTTTTTGAGATTACATCTTTTATAAGTGATAATAACATATTTCTGGGACGTTTTAATTCGTCTCTTATTTGGGCTGACTCTGCTACCTCCCCAGATACACATCGCTGTTTCGTAACAGTAAACTGACGTATGCACGTCTATGTGATCTTATTTGAGTCAATATTCCAACGCCTTCTCCAAAGTATTCTTATTTCATCCACAGAACATTTTATGTGACGTACTTTTATCATTTTCCGTGGGACTATTATCACGAACTTGATTCGAATCAGACACGTATCTTTCTCACTTTGTGCTATTTTGCTAATATTCGCCATTTTGAGAGATGATGCTGTCGTGGTTATGACGGACGGCGTGGTTTGTGTTGTGTTGTGTTTGATGTGTCTCACAATAAAGTGTGAATTTTGACTTTTGAGGTAGACTAATAGTCAAGAAAATCAAGTGGAAGTGCGTTTTTTGGAAAACATGGTGAGATAGGTGAGTTGAATTACCAAAATCCTAATTTTCTGTTTATGTATCAGCACACAGTTGTCTGATTCATAATGGCTTCAGTCATAATTTATTGTCGGGTATCTTCCTCAGTGAATATATAATTATGTGATAAATATAACTACAAGCACACAAGTCCTCTATTATTGTTCCTCTCTTTGTTTCAAATGAACTCAGTAATATTATTTGATTTTTGGGGTTAGGTCATACGCAATATAGAAAAATGTATCACCAAATAGCTATATAGGTATATCAGTGACCAACAGGCTCCCTCAAAATAGTTTGATTTATGTCATTCACGGAAGCTTTCATTGGAATATATCAATGTCTTCAAGTACTACATTGTTTACAGGTCAGTACTTATGAAGTTTCCTCGGAACCTGATGGATACCTACATCACTAGAACATGCGTGAGCTCTAGACAAATCTACCCTGCTCTGACCTACTTTAGTCGAAATGATGGAATACACATCTGCTGTTTGCCTGGGAAGTTCAGGTATGAAAAAGTGAAATGCATATAGTAGGTAATGTAAATTTATTACTTAGGTATGGTATATATTTCAGAATCCAAGTATCTGGGATTTCATTCAATCAAAAATAGAGAAATTTGGGGGACACAAGAATTAGTAAGTCCTTTATTCTTGAAAGGCGTATGAAAAAATGATGACAACATGAAAATCAACTCTTACATTGGGCTAGAACACTCTAAAATCCACCCACTGCCACAGAGGAGGGTGAAAGTTTCGAGAATCAAGAACACACCATCAGGAAGGGAACTAATCGAGGCAGAATCAAGGTAGGATGATATGAATATTTGATGCTGATATTGTGTATTACAATTGTTTGGTGTTTCAGGTGCATTTCATGAAATCCTCAGCCTTGAAATAGATTCGCCCATAGAATCATAAAACTGAACTAACTGAAGTGACATACGTGGAAGGATATAATTATAGTCAATCAAATATCCATTTATTTCCAATTGTACTTCTACCTTACATACATTGATTGAATACATTTCTG